TTGTTTTTCAGCCTGCAATGGCTAGTTATAAGTCGACTTATACAATGTAGGAAGTCGACTTATAAAACTGTAACAACTATATTTTGACTGTGCTAAAAATACGGGATTTTGACATTTGTTTGCGATTTGGGCTGTTGTTTGGGGCTTCTATAAATACCCAACCACCCTCATAACTTTAGTAACAAATTGAGCAAGAAAAAAAATCCCATGTTTGATTTTCTAAGTGTTCTTGAGCTCTAATTTTCAATTAATCATTCTCAAGTTTGTTTTAAGCCTTTGTTTTTCTCACACATCCATACACCACAACTCTTGAGCTTCTCTTGTTCTCTCTTGATCATTGTCATAGGATTATTGTGAGAGTTTTCCTTCTTATATTGTGTTTATGTGGAGAGATCGATCTAGAGGAGATCACTTGTGTGGGTTGCAAAATCTCAAGAGGAGATTGTTGTGACGAAGTTCCGGCTTCCAAACCGGGTGTGATAGTGAAATTCTCCTCGGGAGTGGGGAGCAGGGACGTAGGTTGGTGTAGGCTATCTAAAAATCACAATAGATAGCTGATCACCCATCAAACACCGATGATGGAAGTTACAATCTGATGATTTCCAGAAGGCTACAATTTGAAGACTTTCACGTAGATCGCTAAAGGTTATAATCTGACGACCTTCACAACAACTGATGGAAGCTCTAATCAACAGCCTTCACAATCAACATCGGGAGTTACAATCTGACGACTCTCATATTTCAAAGGAGCCAAGACGAATATTACAAGATGACGGTCTTTGCAACGTTCTAGTAAAAGAGACTACAAATTGACGGTCTTTTTAAATCCAGACGCAGAGCTCACCTATGCGTCCCAGATTCAAAGCGCATAGCTCGTGGTTGTGTTCCCAGAATGAAACGCATAGGTCCTCCCTGCGTTGCCACACCAAAACACGAAGGTCCTCCCCGTGTGTCAGCAACAAAACGCAGGGGTCGAACCCGCATTGTAACATCAAAACGCGGGGGTCAGACCCGCGTTGCAACATCAAAACGCTGAGGCCCTCCCTGCATTGCAACATCAAAATACAGGGATTAGAGCCGCGTTTTCTGTGTTCGACTGGTTCAAACAGAACCTAAACGGTTTTAAAACCGTATCTCCACTTAATGGGGTCGGTTACACCCCATTATGGAGAGATTTTAGGGGGATTACACCCCTTAAACCCTTGAACAGTTTCAAAACTGTTTCCGATGATTTGAGGGCGGTTACACCCCACTTAGGAGTGATTTAAGGGGCGGTTACACCCCCTTAATCCCCTATAAAAACGAGTAAACTCAACTGAGTTCAAGGCTTCCTTTCGGTTGGGTTTTTGGATCTTGGACTTGGCAACGAAGAGGAGATCTTCGGCTTGGCAGCGAGGGGGAGATCGACGTTCATCCTTCAGCAACGTTCGACAACAGAGAGCTTTTATCCTTGGCTATAAACCGATTTCGGTTAAATCAACTCTTTCATAGAGTTTCAAACTCGTTTAGAGTTATCAACTCGTCCAGAGTTCTATTTCGGTTAAATCAACTCTTTCATAGAGTTTCAAACTCGTTTAGAGTTATCAACTCGTCCAGAGTTCTAAAACTTGCTTTGCAAGTTCTCCACAACGTCAAATCGTGAGAAGAAGACCACGTTCCAGTGAAACAAGACGTTAGGATCGTCAACGAGAAGCAAACTCGACACGAGCATTCGAGGGAGGCATCTCATCGCTACCGTGAAGAATCCAGACTTAAACAAAGAGGAGAATCCAGATCAATTATCATCTCTTTTGTAATCAAGAAATTTAATTGTAATTGAGATCAAAGGAATACAAATCAATTTTCCTTCATTTCTTTTTACTACAAATTTTCCACAAACAGTCGGTGGACCGAACCTCATGAACATATCGTGTGTCGCCATCGACTAACTATTCTCTAAACTCATCTCTCTTTTATTGCTTTTGTGTTTATTTTAGTTGGTGTGTTGCATTTTCATTTTTAATTGCACATTTATTGTCTTATTACCCTATTCACCCCCTCTCTAGGGTATTTCATTCCACTCTTCTGAAAGATGACCATCTTCTGCTTCCCATAGATGCAATCCTCACTAATACCAACTTTAACTGAATCGATGTCTGTTAACTTTTCCTATGAGTGTAGAATCTTCATACCCTTCTCACTCATGTGTCCCAGCCTATTGTGCCATAGATCTGCACTCTCCTTGCTAGCTACAACTGCGAGGGTGTCACTCACATGTGAAGTAAGGTAGAGAGGTCATGTTTTGTTACCGCGGGTAACCACCATAATACCATTGGAGATCTTCCACGAATCCCTGATGAATGTTAAAACATAGCCTTTCGTTCCAAGCTGGCCCACCGAAATAAGATTCCTCTTTAGTTTTGGTACGTGTCTGACGTTCTTCAAATTCCACTTAGAGCCCTTCATATGAATCTGCACATCGTCTCTTCCAATAATACTGCAAGGCTCGTTGTTCCCCCAGTATACTTTCCTAAAGTCCCCTGCTACATAGTTCTGAAGAAGCTTCCTATTAGCAGTGGTGTGGAATGAGGCTCTTGAATCAATAACCAATGAGTCGGAGTCGCTGTCATAGCAAGGATCAAGGCATCTTGCACGATATGAGCCTCCTGCTCATTCGCATCCTTCTCTGGCGCTTCGCATCCTGCTCATTCGCATCCTTCTTTGCACGATATGAGTTTGGATATGGCCCTCCTGGCCGTAGTTCTAACATTTCCCTTTGATAGGCCTAACCTTCGAGTTCGACCTCTTCTTCTTCGACTTCAATTCCTGTTCTGGTTACCCTTCTTCTGGCTTCGGCCTCTCTGCTCGAGATTTAGGACTAAACTTGAACCTTCTAATTCAGACGATTTTCTTCTAACCTCCTCGGATAGAATCATACTTACAACCTCGCTCAACTTCAACTTCTTTCCCCCCACCGAGTTGCTAATTGCGGTCATGCAACCTATCCAACTATCCGGTAACTGTGATAGAATTAATAGGGCATGCACTTCATCATCAAACGTGATGTCGACTGAGATAAGTTGATCAACGATCGTGTTGAACTCGCTGAGATGCAATGTGAAGGAATACCCCTCTGCCATCTTGAGGTTGAAGAGTGTCTTGACGAGATAGACATTATTTGCGGCTGACGGTCGGTCGTACATCTTCACGAGTGCTTCCATAAGTCACACTGTCGTCTTCGCCTTCAATACGTTGTGGGTGACTGATTTGGCGAGCGACAACCGAATTTTCCCTAGAGCCTTCTGATCTAATATTTCTCAGTTCTCGTCTGATTCATCTTTCTTCTTTCCTTTAGCTTTTCCCATCAACGGATGGTAAAGATCCCTCTGGTTCATATAGTCCTCCATCTGCGACTTCTAGTAGGCAAAGTCTGATCCGTCAAACTTCTCGATCTTCGATTTTCTTTCTTTTGCCATCTCTTTCACACACAAACTTTGCCGAACGAAACTCTGATACCGGTTGTTGGGGTTGAACACACGACAACCCGTGCCCTTTCGAATCTTGTGTCGAGAGTAGGCAAGCAAGAAATCACAGCAAATAAAAGAAAACTTGTGGAAAGAACGAGCAAAAGAAGAAACACCAGGTTTAACGAAGTTCGGCAAACATGCCTACGTTCTCGGGAGCCACACCAGAAATTCTTTGATTAATTGAAGAAGATTACAATGCTTGCAATATGTCACTCTCTCTCTAAGATCTCTGATCTCAAAGTATCATCAAAACCCTCTCAAAAACATCCTCACATAACCCTAAAAACGTTTTAGGAAACAAATATATACACAACCCAAAAACAAATTCCAACCCGAATCAGGAAACCGCCTGACCCGACTTCGGTCGACCGATATCATCTCATCGGTCGACTGGTTGATCACCATCGGTCGGCCGATAGTGTTTCTTCGGTTGACCGATAGCAATGCTTCGGTCGACCGATAGTGTTGCTTCGGTTGACCGATAGCATTGCTTCGGCCGACCGGCCAGAACCCTGTTTTCTACAGGGTTTCTCGTGCACGTCTTCGGTCGACCGGGGCCATTGCTTCGATCGATCAACTAGAGCGGGGTTTTCTGCTTAGTTTCCTGTAATCGATTAGGTCGACCAATCCATGTGTGTCGGTCGACCGATGTTGAGTTTTACAGAATTGTTGATTTTGATCCAGGTTTGGGCCTACATTCTTGAAACCAACGGCAATCGGAGCAAAGCTGAAAAATATAAGTAAATTTGTGGAATCCAATAGAGCAAAGGCTTTCTTCAAAAACATTTATCGAGAATGTTATATGAAAAGGTAAAAGGTTCCCATAATTATAATTCATAAACGTATTCTAATTTTCTAATTTTTATATGTAGAGGTGATCAAATTTAGACTCAATCAATCTAATCCTCTCATCAGTGATTTTCCAATGGATGGTCCAAAGATCTATCACAATCATGAATCATCCATTACGCTGCGGTATCATTTTTTCCATAAAACCATCAAAAGATGTACTAATTGAGAGACAACAATAATTAAAACAAAGAGGAAATTTTCAAAACAACCCCAAAAAGTTTTTTATTTTTTAAAATCGACCTTTTTTTTTATCAAAATCGACCTACTTTTTGCCACGTGGGCTTAATGAAGTTCCTAAACAGTCGGGGTTACCAACCCCGACTGTTTAGGACATGAAAATTTTAGGTTTAAGGATTCTAATTGGGGTTTAACACCCTCCTAAACAGTCAGGGTTGGCAACCCCGACTGTTTAGGAACTTCATTAAGCTCACGTGGCAAAAAGTGGGTCGATTTTGATAAATAAAAAAAAAGTGGGTCGATTTTGAAAAATAAAAAACTTTTTGGGGCTGTTTTAAAAATTTCCTCTTAAAACAAATCTTACTCTTATAGCCCAATATGTAGGATTCCCTATAAATTAAGAGAAAGGCCATACCCTTGGAAATCAAGCTTAAGATTAATCTTGTTCAAGTAATATTCTTCATCATGTCATCCCTTTCTCCTAGCATTCTTACTTGTGATGATCTATTTGCAGTCTACAACTCAAGGATCTCTTCTCCTCGGCTGCAAGAGTTCGAGCATGAAGACTTCCACAACTCAAATAATGGAATAAATATAAATAATGAGAACTCGAAGAAATCAATCCACAATGAATATGAGAGAGATCGGAGGAAGAAACTCAACAAGTTGTACTCCTCTCTTAGAGAACTTCTCCCAGAGAAGGACCAAAGAGTATGTCATTTACCTTGTACATATCTTCAATATTTTTCAGAATAAAGTTTATTATTATCTAATGAGATTTTTTCCATTGAAGCAGAAGAAATTAAGCATTCCATGCACAATCGCTCGTGTGCTAAAATACATACCTGAACTACAAAAGCACATCGAGAAATTGCAAAGTGCGAAAGAAGAGCTTTTATTGAGGGTATCAAGTAATGAATTTACTTCAACTTGTAGTGAAAATGTGATCCAACCTATGATTTCAGCAATATTTTTGGGTAGAAGAGAGATCCTGATTCAAATATACATCTTGAGAAAAAGTTTAATGGTTCCTTTGTCGATGATCATGAAAGTTTTGGAGAGAGAAGGATTACAAATTATGAATGCTATGACTCACACCTCCTATGATGGCAAGACCATTTATCTTCTATATCTACAGGTAAGATTTTTCCATAGTTTAATTAGTATTTGTAAACTTTTCCATGAGTATTGATCTTGATTTTGTTTGTTTCAACAGTCAACGGAAGACATAATAATTGAGGATCAAATCTTCTGTGAGCAACTGATAAAATCCCTCAGTGAGCAAACAGTCTGAACGAAAACGAAGAAGAATCCATCACGTACTTATGTTATTGATACAAAAAATTAATGAGATAGTACTAACGTAAGGTCAAAAAATTTGTATGTGTGTTTTGTTTAGCCTTTTTAATGTCCCTAGCAACAAATTATTTGGCAGAGTTGCTCTTGTACATAAATTGTGGAAATTTGAAGTTTACACAGCGTAAAGTTGCTTAGTTTTCATTGACAGTAATGAAAATGTGATCATTATTCATCATTGTTTGCTAAATTAAACACACTTCAATCCACTACTCCATCCTGTCACAACAACAACAACAACAACAACAACAACCAAAAAAAGAAAAGAAAATGACAGTTGTGTGAAGAAACTCAGAAAAACCAGTTTTTCTGTTATAAGTCGACTCATGCACAGGCATAAGTGGACTTATGGTAAGTCGACTTGTGTATGTGCATGAGTCGACTTACGTTCTGTTTTGGAATTGTTAGTTTTGGTCACTGGCAAGTCGACTTATCAGGACTGTTAAGTCGACTTACGTTCTGTTCTCCAGTTGTTGATTTTCGCTCTGCCAAGTCGACTTATGGAGCATGTTAAGTCAATTTATGGTAAGTCGACTTGTTCCCACTGATAAGTCGACTTACGATCGTTTTCAAGCCTGTTTTGGTTTCCTGTTTGGTTTGGGTTTCTATTTTAATATAAATAGAAACACGATTTATTTAGGTTTAATAGATCATATTGATTGAGTTTTGGGGTAGCTTGAAGGAGAGTTTTCAGCACAAAAAAGAAAGTTCTTTCTGAGCAATTTGTTTGGGAGTTTTGTGAGAGATTTAAGAGTTTAGTTTGAGAGCTTATTTGTGAGCTTTTGAGATATCTTATAATCTCTATTTTGTATTCACTTTCTTTATAGTGAAAACTCATCCCCTTTTTGCCCCGTGGACGAAGGCAGATTGCCAAACCACGTTAAACTTTGGTGTTTGAGTTTGTGCTATTATTAGTTGATTTGTGTGCCTTCTCTCTCGACAAATTTGTGAATCCTCAGAACACGCGCAGTACTCCCAACAAGTGGTATCAGAGCTCGGGCTACGCTTAGGCTATTTGGAGGAGTAGATCGTTTTAGAAGCTCGTCTAGGGTTTTAATTGGAGATAAAGGTGGGATCTTTTTGGTAAAAAAAATTCTATCTTTTCTCAGTTTGGATTTATTTTTTAGTTTGTTCCACATTGGTTGTTGGTGTGTTAAGGAAGATGACTGGGAAAGAAAGTACATCAGGTGTTAAGGGTGGTGCTTCTGGCATGAAGACCATTCAAAGTTTGAATATCCACTCTACGAAGATAGATGTGGACAAGTTTAATGGCACGAACAATTTTGGATTATAGAGATGTGAGGTTTTGAATGCGCTAAACACGCAAAATTTAGAGGATACTTTAGAGTTGGATGGCAAGCCAGATGATATTAAAGAGAATGTTTAGAAGAAGATGAATAGAACGACGTGTGGTGTGATTAGATCTTGTTTGACTTAAGATTTGAAATATGATGTGATCAATGAGACTTCGGCTAAGAAGATTTGGGAGATCCTTGAGGGCAAGTATTTAACTAAGAGTGTAGAGAACCACTTGTATTTGAAGAGGAGGCTTTACCGTTTTCAATTGAAAAAAAGAACCTCCATTGGTGATCATATGAACCACTACACGAAGCTTCTTACGGATTTGACGAATGTAGATGTTATGATAGAGGATGAGGATAAAGTTTTGTTATTATTTGAGTTCCTTACCAGATGAGGAATATAAGACATTTGTTCTTACCCTAATTAATAGGAAGACGTCTCTTTCGTATAGTGAGGTAACCACTGCTCTTGTGAATTACCAACTAAGGAAGAAAGATAAGGAGTCTACAAGTGACACAATAGCAGAGACATTTATCGCAAGAGGGAAGAATCCAAACCGGAAGAATAGGAAGTCACAATCTAGAGTAGGGCATCCTACAATTAGCAAAGATCGGTGTGCTTGGTGTAAAGAGACTGGTCATTGGAAGAAAGATTGTCCAAAGCTCAGTGAGTGGATGAAGAACAAACAGAAGGGAAAGGAAAAGCAACAATCATCAGAAGCAAACATCGTCATATCGGATGGTAATCTTTCTGACTTATCTGTTTATTCGCTCTCTATTAGTCCCACAGTTTGCTATTCGGAGGAATTTGAGTGGATGTTGGATAGTGGTGTAACCTATCATGTGTGCTCTAAGAGGAAATGGTTCTCCAGTTTTGAAAAGCTGGATAGTGGTGTGATATACATGGGTGATAACTGTGCATGTCAGATCCTTGGGATAGGTAAAATTTGCATCAAGATGTTTGATGGGATGGTTAGAGAGTTACATGGTGTGAGATATGTTCCTTCTTTAAGGAAGAACTTGATCTCGATTGGAGCTTTAGTTGGAGAGGGTCTGAAAGCTCATATTGAGGACATAGTTCTCGAGATTGTGGAAGACTCTTTGATTATGATGAAGGGCGTCAGGAAAAATAACATGTACTATTTGATTGGAAATACGATGACAGGTGGAGAACTGACGACTTCTATTGATTCGACTAGACTATGGTATTAGAGGCTTGGTCATTCCAGTATTGATTTGGAAAAGGGTGTATCGACCTGTAATTTAAAGTCCAGTGAACATTTTGATGTGAGCAAGAAGACCAAGGTAAAATTTGACACCTCTATTCACCGAGCTAAGGGTCTTTTCAATGGAGTTCATGTGGGCATTTGGGGGCCTTCCAAGGATGCATCATTGGGAGATAATAGATATCTGATTTCCTTTGTTGACGACTGTTCTAGGCATGTTTGGGTTGCAACCAAGTCCCGTTTGAGTGAAGTCCTAGTAGTCTATAACATGTTGAAGAAGTGTAAGAAAGACAGAAGGATGAAGGTACTCCGTTCTGATTTTAGTGAGAAGTACAAGAGGGATCCGTTTCTGTATTCATGCCGAGCTGAAGGCAATTGGAGATACTTCATTGGAGAGGATATCTTGGGGCAACTAGATGGGGTGACAAAGTTAGAAAACCATTTCTTGCTGGAGAAGGAATAGTGTTTGTGGTCAAGCAATGCTTTGCAGAAGAGTTTCTGGACTGAGGCGTTGACATATTCGAGTCACCTTATTAAAAGATTGCCAACTACTGTGATAGTAGGTAAAACTCAATTGGAAGTTTGGTCTGGGATTATCACTTTTGATGAGGCTTCGATGATGGAGCTAATTGACTCTTGGCAGGTGGAGAGTTTTGGACAGACCTTAGATGTATTGCAGGAGGTGGATGATGATGCTACTTCATATTAGGTGGAGATTACTCCACATACTCCAGATCATACTGTATCGTTTGGGATTCTAGCTGAGATGACACAGTTTGGGGATTATATTGATTTGGATGCAGATGATGAGTTAGTTGATTCGAGTACAGCTGGTGGACATAGTTTGGATTTGGATACGGCCATTGGTTCACCTTAGGTGGAGGTGTTTGATTTGTTTCACTTTTGGGCCATTGGGAGAGCTATCAGCCGCAGATTTGTTGGTGAAGAGTTGCGAACTCTTCTATTTGATTGAGGGGCTTTGTAGGCCATTTGGATGAACTACGAGCGGCTTGATCCCTTGGGAGAGGGGGTACGTAGGCAGACAATTTGATGCAGCCGATTTGATGAGTAGATAGCGATGTTTGGAGAGTGATCGCATTCTCATTTGAGTCTCGACTTATTATGGATTGAGTCCGTTGTTATGATTTTTGTATCACTTCGTACTGAGCGCAACAAGTGAGACATTTGGTTTGATTGGTGTCGGCTTAGTTTTGAAAAACTTAGCCAAGGTGGAGAATTGTGGAGAAACTCAGAAAAACTAGTTTTTCTGTCATAAGTCGACTCATGCACAGGCATAAATCGACTTATGGTAAGTCGACTTGTGTCTGTGCATGAGTCGACTTACGTTCTATTCTGGAATTGTTGGTTTTAGTCACTGGCAAGTCGACTTATCAGGACTGTTAAGTCGCCTTATGTTCTGTTCTCCAGTTATTGATTTTCGCTCTGCCAAGTCGACTTATGGAGCCTGTTAAGTCGACTTATGGTAAGTCGACTTGTTCCCATTGATAAGTCGACTTACGATGATTTTCAGGCCTGTTTTGGTTTCCTGTTTGGTTTGGGTTTTTGTTTTAATATAAATAGAAACACGATTTGTTTAGGGTTAATCGATCATATTGATTGAGTTTTGGGGTAGCTTGAATGAGAGTTTTGAGCACAGAAAAGAGAGTTCTTTCTGAGCAATTTGTTTGAGGGTTTTGTGAGAGATTTAAAAGTTTAGTTTGAGAGATTATTTGTGAGCTTTTGAGTTATCTTGTAATCTCTATTTTGTATTCTCTTACTCTAAAGTGAAAACCCATCCCCTTTTTGCCCCGTGGACGTAGGCAGTTTGCCGAACCACGTTAAACTTTGGTGTTTGAGTTTGTTCTATTATTAGTTGATTTGTGTGCCTTCTCTCTCGGCAAATTTGTGAATCCTCAGAACACGCGCAGCCCTCCCAACAAGTTGATGTTCAACACAACAAATACTCCACAGCATAGAAATGTTAACAGAGTGGAAGAGGCAAAATAAATTGCACTTGGGGTTGTAGATAATCTCTTTGTAAAGATTGTGTTCTATATGAATTATACTTGTAGTTATTTTATCATAAACACCATCATCAATACTGTTATCATTTTAAATAGAAGGGTATCGACATTCTCAAGTAATATAGTGATGCAATAAACTAGAAAGAAGGAAACTGAGAAAATAATATTGAGTCAAATTATCTATGGAATTCTTATCCTTATCTATGAACATGAAAAATTACATTATCTTAAAGTCCCTACCACAATACCAAAACTTGGAAGCTATGGTAAGAACTGAGGGTTATAGATTTATATTCTTACAAATTAAGAAAAAGGAAAACTATGTACATAGCACCAAAATAGCCTATTCGGCCTGATTCAACCTTGAACATTTTGACTCAAGTAGTCTCTCACTAACATGTTCTTAAGTACTTCGAACCCTCTAATTTTGTTCAAGAGATAACATAACTGAAAACA